AATATAAAATATTTTGTTTATAATTAATGTTTTTTTGCTTGCAATTTTATTTCACACCTTTTTTTATTTTATTTTTGTATTGTAATTGCTAGAGAGTTCAAATGCATGATTGTTAATCTAAATACTCCTATTGCCTATTTCTTAAATTTTTACAAGTAGTGCTGCGTTCTTTCCGTGCGAATTTAATGTGGATTACTATACAAGTATTTCTTTTGCATGAACACCTTGCGGTTATGTTCTACTACTTTTACGCCATCAGATGACCTTCACTGCACAAACAAAGGTATATACACTCTATATTAAATTTGTCTTGATTATTTTTCTCGCCACTGGATCTCTCACTATAACGAGAGAATGAAAAAAGAACACGCGGTATCTCTATGTGGTATGTAAATCGAAATGCTACCCGTCAATGTTATTATATCGCTTAAATGTGTGTGTATATATATATATATGTGTGTAAATATGAAGAAACTTTCTTTATATTTCTCTCTTTTATCAAACTTTCTCATTTTTCCTCGTTTCTTAAATTTTTGAAAAATTGGGATATCCTTGACAGAATCAGGAGACGAGTGGTACACCCGTGAAGGCTAACGCATACTTTTTTCAGAGATATGATAATTTATCTGAGAAAGTGGAAAATCATTTGAGCGTAACGGTATATTCGTTCCAAGGCCGATCAAATTCATAAAATTGTCATGGGCAATTATTTTAGAAAAGAATCAGTCATAACAACGATCGGTATTTTTTCCGGATAAAAAATCTCCTTAATAAGTTTCTTCATGCGGTACAAGTCAAGGTCGAAGAAATTTGCCGAGGAATCTATGGGCTTCCTGTAAAACATAAGCGCTATTTTACTTCTCATTACAAAACACGTGACGCCGCTAATTAGCGAAGCTTCGTAACAACTGTGCTGCGAGTTTATTAACGCGCGTGTAACGTTGCGTGGGATACATCTCCGGTATGACCTTATTTATCCTTTCGGAGAACACTGGAAGGTTTTACTTGCGAAAAGATAGGAATTTTTTTCCACTATCCCTTGTCGTGTTGCTCCTTCAGACAATGCAAATAGATATAACGCAGTCCGTGTTTAGGAAAACTTGAAATTTTATACGTCCTCTCCTTTTGTGTTGCGTAAAAAGAATTCAAGCTACCGTATACATATATATAAAAATCCAATAAATGTACAATACACTGGAAATGAAGAAAAAATGTACGATAGCTGTTGTTACAAATCGCTTTTTCGCAACAAGTTGTTTCCGATGAAGGAGTCGCGTAGTGTCTGCCATCGATGCTTGCAAATCGATCAATCTCTCGATAGATCGGTCACTTGTCGCGGTAAAAGAACCACACCCGTGGCTTTACACCCGCGGGCCTCGCCGAAGCACCGTGTAGCCGTTTACGTAAAAGAAGGCAAAGATGTATTGCCACCATAAAATACGCCTCCGCGGTCGTTTCTGTCCTCTCCCAGAGATAATTATTATTTATTTATAACTTAAATGTCGTGCGCGCGCGAGAGCGAGAATTCGCCTTCAAAAATATGCAAAAATATTTAATATAATTGTAATTAAATAATAAAAAAATATATTAATAATAAATAATAAAAAGTAAATTTTTGTCTAGCTTTTACACGCATCAATTTTTTTTTTCTGTCAATTAGATATGTTCGTGTTCTCGAGGAACCTCCTCCGCGATTTGACAGTAAACATCTGTCTCTGGTGCTTGATGCTCTTTTAATTACGGTTTTATTTGAATCCTGGCCTTGCGCGTATCCTACATTTAATTTTTTTTTTCCCAGAGAATTTTGGCTTCTACTGTTGGACGTGAAGGTTCGGGCGTATTTACATCATTTTCGAGGTTACGAGGTTTTCTCACGATGCTGTATGCGATTCAATTGTTCTAAATTGATCCTTCGGACTAGGTAGATATCTGAAAATTGATGAAAGGAAACTAAAATATCTCCAAAGAATGACAGATTATTTAATCAAGATTTCTCTTTGCAACTACATTTTTTATCGAGAGAGATTTCATCGGAAAATCAAAAAGCTATTCATTTTGCACAAAACTTTAAATTCTTTATTATAAGTAAATACCTCGTGCGGACTTTCAAGTATACTGCAAGCACATTGCAGATCTAACGTGGACAATGAAGGATATATCTGGAATCGTTCTGTAGCTGTCAGTGAGCAATTCGCGCTTTGTAAAAAGACCTGCTACTAGAACAAGTGTCTCCTTTTCAAGTGACCGTTGCCATTTTTACAAACGTCGTAATTTTCCAAGAGATTCCTTTCCCTCATCTCGATCCACGCAGCACAGAATGCGTGGACCATGCCTCTCGCATCAGATCACAGCCTGATAAAATTCAACAAATTTATATACTCGTTTATGGTTGTTTTATAGTCCCTTAATTCACTTCCTTGCACTCTACAAATGACAGATATTATAAATTAATTTGTAATGTGTTACCAAACTATCAAACAGAATTACGATTGCGAAGAAATGATTGCAAAGCCATTTAATTTTATATTAAAAATTAAAAAAAATATTTTTACTTTAAATAGAAAATTGCAATCTCTCTCTCTTTCTCTCTCTAACAAAAGAACAAGAGTAATTATAATATAGTATATTATCAAGTTCATAGCTAAAAATCTTTTTCGATATCACGATGTTATGGTCAAAAATAGATCTTTAGCGAGAATAATTATTTTACTTGATGACTCGTGACGAATAAATAAACTGTGGATAAAACAGTCGTGCAGATAGATGCTTTTCCGATTATATAAACCTTCTTTAACCGTTGTAAATTACGCTAAGTGAGTTAATGCGGAAATAACAGTAAGAAAAATATGATCAATAATTCATATAACAACGATAGCATTAAAGTAGAATATTCGCGCCGTATCAGGCAGTGCGTCGTTGTCTTTGAATTTTAAAGTAACTTATCGTAAAATAAAGAAAGTAATCTCTCGCAAAAATAATGCAATGCGCAGAAACAACTGTAACTTGTATCGTTGAATAAAACTTATTGTTGATTCATCCGGCGGTTGTCCTTTCGATTTAATGCTCGTTCACCAACTTTGTAGGCCTCTGATCGTACAATTTCAGAATCAACCGGCACTCAATCGCCTTTGTCGTAAGTTTCTCACGATCAGATGGCAATGACAAAGACGGATATCGATTTCGCTGGGGATCAACAGTGATATAGTAGATTCTACGGCGATATATAAAGGGGGTTCTGGAAAAACGATTTTATTAGATGAAATTTTTTACGCTAATACCAGAGAAATCCAACGAGAACCACAGCAAAGACTACAGTTAGATTTCATTGACAAGCTGTCTTTCCTTTAAAAAGATTAGAGAAAGGTATATGACGATAAAAGCTTATCGAACATCGACTGCTCCATACGAGAATGTACGAGAGATTCAATGACGTAATCGTCCAGATTTAAGAGAGATTCATCATTGATTAGCATATATATAGCAAATGGATACCGATCGTTGCACAGAGATGACTCTCTCGCGTTCCATCGCAAGGATAGAAGGAGATATTCGTGGTGGTAGTTTGATCCAAACAATCGCGGCGCGCGTTTCTAATAATCTCTCAGGAGCGATCCCCCGAGATCTCTCGAGACTTATCGAGGCTTATCGAGATTCGAAATATCCCAGTTAAGGCACGCTTCGATAGAAATTCGCTTTTACCGGCGAATATCGGCGAGAGCGGCTGACTCTCGTGGCTGTCGAATTTTTTATCCGACGTAGAAGGGCTCGGCGAAGAAGGAGAAACCGTGCGTTACCTTGTCTCGTGCATCAAACTGCGTAACGCGGAAAGTGTCCCCCGAACTGGGACAGAACCCCACCCGCGATCCCGCATCGATATCCCGATGGCCTCCGGTCTCTCTCCCCCTTTTTTCGCCTCTCCTCGGCTCGTTCTCTCGGTGCCTTCCCTTTCGATCTTTGGTCCTCGCTACCATCCGGCCGAGACCGGCGAGGTTTACTTGTAAGAGAGCACTCGTCCTCCGAAACTTCAGTGCAAAACGCGCGCTTGAACTCGAAGGATCCTCCGTTTGATAAAGAAGAGAAAGAGAGGAAGGGAGTGAGAAGAAAAGAGCGAGAAAGAGAGAGAAGAGCCTTGTCGATTTGTACGGGATATCTCGATGCGACGTTTAATGGTTCAAGGGTGATCCCCTGTGCGTCTGTCCGACTGTGATCCATCGCGATTTCGGTGTTTTCGATCCGGAGATCTTGAAGAAAATGTGGGGTCGCGAGGTTCTTTTAGTATCGTTCGCGCTCATAGCGCTTGGAACTACGACGAGTAAGTGTAATTTTTCAAGACATAAAAATCTTGATATATTTTGATATATTGTTTTATTGTAATAAACAGGGAAAAATTTTTCCTTTAGTATATATAAGAGTATACACAGAAAAAAGAAAAAAGAAAAGAAAAATAGAGTAGAATCACGGCTTAATACAGAAAAATTAAGAATAATAAGAGAATTAAATAATTAATTTTGAAGATAAAATCAAACAGTATATTTTATATGTTTGCTTATTGCTTATATCAAGAGAAAATTTGTAAATTTAACAATTCATTTTTTACATAATTTGTTCATATATATATATTAACGATTTTATTATAGATTAGAAGATTATTTATTAAAATCCGTTTTTGAAATTACATAAATTATAAAAAGAAAATTTTATTGTTATTCATCGATGGCATTGATTTATTTGTGAGATGGCCTTTTATTTTTAGTAGCAAATAAAAATTATTTACGTTCAGACATTTATTAAGGTTAAGACATTATTGTTACGATAATAAGTAAGACATAATTATACACATAAATGTCTGGATATAAATAATTTTTATATGATATTTATATGAATTTACATGAAGTTACATAAATTTTAGGTGGAAATAAAGGACTTTTTGCAAATAAATAAAATAAAAAGCTTCAAAAGGCAGAACGTCTCTTTTTTCATGTAATGTCATTAAATAGATTTAAAAAGATATATGGGCATTAATATAGACTTTAAAAGACTTTTTGCAAATAAAAAGCTTCAAAAGGCAGAACGTCTCTTTTTTCATGTAAATAAGAGAATTAAATAATTAATTTTGAAGATAAAATCAAACAGTATATTTTATATGTTTGCTTATTGCTTATATCAAGAGAAAATTTGTAAATTTAACAATTCATTTTTTACATAATTTGTTCATATATATATATTAACGATTTTATTATAGATTAGAAGATTATTTATTAAAATCCGTTTTTGAAATTACATAAATTATAAAAAGAAAATTTTATTGTTATTCATCGATGGCATTGATTTATTTGTGAGATGGCCTTTTATTTTTAGTAGCAAATAAAAATTATTTACGTTCAGACATTTATTAAGGTTAAGACATTATTGTTACGATAATAAGTAAGACATAATTATACACATAAATGTCTGGATATAAATAATTTTTATATGATATTTATATGAATTTACATGAAGTTACATAAATTTTAGGTGGAAATAAAGGACTTTTTGCAAATAAAAAGCTTCAAAAGGCAGAACGTCTCTTTTTTCATGTAATGTCATTAAATAGATTTAAAAAGATATATGGGCATTAATATAGACTTTAAAAGACTTTTTGCAAATAAAAAGCTTCAAAAGGCAGAACGTCTCTTTTTTCATGTAATGTCATTAAATGGTTTCAAAAAAATATATATGCATTAATATAGATTATGCATTATATTCCGTAATAATTCTCAGATAAAGTAAAAACTGAATGGCACATGACACAACACACAGAGTTAAATAGGACGCATCGGCGCGACCGATGCGAAAAGCGATCTTCTGCCGATTGCGTTACCACGCGTATCGGATACACAGCCGTCCTTTAAGGTTGAATTACGACACGTAAGACTGGAGCAAGGATGATACCATTTATATCATCGATCGTGTGCATTCTCGCGTAAGGTTTTGACGTTTTTCTAAGATCCACATGACGCGATGATCAAGACACATTTTGTTTTTTCCACTATTAATATCGGTCTATTTTATAATTGAATAAAATGACCCGAGTGCATTTCGCTTTTGCTTATCAAGATGAGTGCTTTAAACAGTAAAGCATTGTTTCATACGAAATGTTATATAATATACCGTTAAAACGAATCATTTTGTTTCTACCTTTACATGTTCAAAATTTTATCTCATTTTTATTCGTACGATTAGAATCGAGCTCCACGAATACGCACGTGGCGCGTAAGTGACATTTGTAAAGGAGTGTTTATATATGCACTGAGAAGTATACGCGAGCGTCATGCAATGCGACGTTTAACGCTCAATCAATCGTGCGATAATTGCACACGGTTATTACCTCAATGTATCCGGGACCCGTTGATTATTAATCAGTCTCGCATAATCCGCGGATGTTTAATCTCTCGCGGATCATCCTCCGGCTTCTTTCTTTTGCGGGGAGCGGGCTCGCGTGACCATGCAAACGACTGATATAGCAACAATCGTAGCTTAACGCACCGGTGACCGGTGGTCGATGATGTCAACAGTTGAAACTCCCGTATATCTCTGTTAGGTAATACTTCTTATCTTCAAACGTGCGCGTTTTGATCTGTCGTAGAATGCCCGAAGAGGAGAATGTCGCCGGTCAGAGAAATTCTCTGCTACACATCCGCCTTGGATGCGCAACAGCTAGCCGATTCCATATGCAGCTGCACCACTCTGGTGCATCAACATCACGACGTGCGGAATCTCTCGGTTTCCCGTAAGTTCAGTATATCCCGAAAGATAATACACACACGGTATATCAATTTTAATATTTTATTACGAGTCGCAGTTGAAAAGGTAGATAAACATATTAACACCAATTATGATGAAAGTGATGGGTTTAATTTTTGAAGAAATTTAAAATAAAGAAAATAAAGAAATTTAAAAGAAATTTAAATGAGATAGATATAATTGATTACTGCGATTTTTTATAAGTTGAATTTTTATTCTAAAATAAATGACCGATGGTATTTTAGGCGTCGTCGATTTGCGAAAGTCCTTGAAAGAGATGCATCCGTCTCTTCAATTTGTAATTTCTATATACGACCCCGCGATGATGCTCAGAAATTCCGCCATGGTTCGGCAGGAAGCTGTCGCTCGGATTATCGCCGTTATAAAAGAGGTACAGTACATTTCCCTTATTATCATTTTTTTTTTTTTCAAAGCGATATTTTTTACTTTATTGAGTAGATATTGAATGTTTTAATAATCGAGCAGTATCTGGAATAAATTGAAATGTAAAAACATAAATATTGAATCACGATACACAATGTATATTAATACACGAATTAATAAAGAATCTTCCGTTTTTCAAGGTGGATGGCGTGGAAATGAATGTGACAGCGGGTTCCAAAGAGCGTCTTTATAATTTCGTCAAAAGTCTGAGAGATGAAATGATACGAAAATCTTACGACAGGAGGATCTTCCTGGCTTTGCCTAGTAAACCGGAGGATCTGGCCAAGCAGTTTGATATGAAAGAACTCGCAAAGTAAGAACTCTCTCGTCGATGTATGATTATTCGTTCGACAAAGTATTTTTAACAAAATATTTTTTAATCGTCGATTTTTATTTCCTTTTTTTTTCTTAGATATATCGATCTATTTACCCTTTCGACGGACTACATGACAGACGAGGATGAAGCCTTCGTCACCTTTCATCCCTCGCGTCTGATAGGGCTCTTCGACATGCTAAACACAGACAGCTTGGTGGACTTGATAAGCGGATTAGGTGCACCCAAGGAGAAGATTATGACGACTTTGCCGGCCAGTGCATACAGATTCGCTTTGAAGCACGAGACTGAAAACGCTCCTAGGTCGCAAACTACGGAAAAAGAGCCCACACCGATCGATCGTAAACAGGTGCATACGACATCCTTCCATTTTAGTTGTATTTTTTTCTGCAGTTAAGAAAAAAAACGAATCTGTTCTGTGATTGCATTGTCTACCCTCGAACTAACTCGTTCCTCATCTTAGCTTTGCGAAGCCATAAATGACGGGGAATGGACCGTGGAACGAGATGAAGATCTCACGGCACCGTATGCATTTCAAAACAAAACGTGGATCGCCTTCGAGGATAAGATCTCGGTTGGAATAAAGGTTCGTACGCAGATCTGCCCAAAAAAATCTCGCTTGCTCAAAAAATATTACAATCTAATATAAAAGAAAAATTTTAAAAAAATAAGAATATTTCAATAAAAATCAGTCATAATATCGATATTATTATAAATTGAATAAAACGATGCTTTGTAACAACCGATCAGTTTGTACGACAGGATGCCTGATTTCAGGGGAAATACGCGTTGCTACGGGATTTGGCGGGATTGGCGGTGCGAAATATAGAAAACGATATAAAAACCGAGTGCGAGATGCCACTCACGGAAGAAATATATCGTTCCTTCACAGAATTTAAAAGAAAAACGAGGCAAGCCGTGCTGAACGCGCTGGAAGACGAGCTTCATGTACATAAAAAAATTCATTTCTATATTTCATTCGGTTTATTCTATTTTTCCAAGATTGTAAGTCATTGCAATTAAATTTCAGCAAACTCAATTCTCGTATCCCAATCGAGCAAAAACGTCCAGCTTCCGCGTCGTTCGCGTAGTGGATACGGAGGGACATATCAAAGCCGTGCGCGAGAACACGCAAACCGAGTTTGTCTGTCGAAGACAAGGCTACTTTGTTCATCCTAAGAGTTGCAACAGGTGATAAAATAGCTAATAAGGCGATCTCTATCTGAAATCAAATTTAAACACTAGAAGGATATAAATAATCTTATCGTTTCATCGTTTCGCAGATTCTATCGCTGCGTGAAATTCAATCAACAGATAGATGACTATTCCGTCTTTGAATTCGATTGTCCGGCTGGTCTGTCGTTCGACGAGCGCACCGAGGTCTGCGTCTGGCCGGGTTCCTTGCCCCAGGGCTCGCCGTGTCCCGGAAGCAGCGAGATCGCTCCCGTTGCCCCGAAGAGATTCGAGTGCTCTCAACCCGGCTACTATGCAGATCCGCAAAATTGTCGTTGGTTCTTCGCTTGCATGGACTTGGGTACGCTAAAATTCTCACATTACTATTATTGTTATTATTTATCGTGTATATTTTTTCAAATTGTGTAATTGAAGAAAATATTATATATCTCACATTTTGTAGAATTATTATAGTTTCGTTGATAATATCGTTAATATAATTAGGAAAAATTTTTGTTTAAATAAATATTATTACATACAACTTCTTATATATCGATAGGCGAATCGGAGTTAATGGCGTTCGAGTTTCGCTGTCCGTATGGCTTGGTGTTTGACGAGAAGAGATTAGTATGCGAGTGGCCCTGGCTGGTTCCGGCTTGCTCGGAATCTGGATCGGCTTATACCAGGACGGAATATAATTACGGAGGATACACCGTAGCGGGAAGTTCTACGGGAGGCGCTGCGGGAGGTGGTTACATTACCGGTGGTTTACCGGAATACTCCGTCACGGCCGGTCACTCTAACGTAGGCTATTCTGAATCGACCGGCACTGGTGTCCATGGAGCAAATTACTTTACAGGATCCACCGCGGGATACCTCGGTAAACATACTTCCGGTGTTGATACGGCTTCTGGATACGCAGGATCGTCTGCGGGTCCAATCGCTATCGATTATTCGAAACCAAGCGGGTACGGAGGCACGGTATCCTCTATCCCGACGTATACCGGACCGTCCGGTATACACGTCGGTTCGATATCTTCTGCGGAGGAAAGTAGCGCAGGATATTCTGCGTCGAGTGGTAAAACTAGCAATATCGGATATACTGTATCCACCGGACACAGAGCCGGTAGCGGATATTCTGGTGGATATACTGGGCCATCGGGAGGGATTACTACAGGTTTTTCCGGATCTACCGCGGGGGGATATTCCGGAACCGCTGGTGGAAGTCGTTTGACAGGAGGAGATGTAACTTATTCGGGCAGGCCTGGATCAAGCTACTCTGTAGCGGGCGGGTATACAGGAGGCGTTGATGCGAGTATTAATCCGATAGTAGGTACAGCGACTTATCCGAAAACACCGGGCTATTTCGCGTCCACAGAATTGCCAGGATCATCTGTCGATATTGGACGCGTGGATTCCGCCGGTTCTAAATTTGTCGGCTCGACGAATCTACAGACAGGCTTCGGTGCGTTTAATGCGGATGGTCACTCGGCTTCTACCGGTATTTATTCAGGAGCTACTGAACGTCAGCCGTCATTCGATAAAACCGGCTCATCATTTGGAATTGGATTGTCTTATCCTGGAGCTACCGGCGAATCAACTACACAGATATATCAAGGATCGATCGGTGCAGGATATTCCAAAGCTACGAGCGGGATTTTGCAAGGTTCGACGAGTTCAGGTCGAGTCTCGGCAACTGGTTTCGGTAGCGACGCCTCGAAATCCGTCTCCGGGCATACTGATGTTACGATTGCTGACAGTGGACACTTTGTAAGCGGTAGTGTCGGTAGTGTCGGTAGTGTACCATCTTCTGGAGTGGCAGGCGCTTCCTCGGCAGGAGTAGGATACAACAACGAGGAAGGATATACAGTTCCTGTATTTCTAGTACATGGAGAACCGATCTATCCCTTGCCTGGAACAACAGAAGCCGGAACGAGAGACCATACCGGAACGCCAGGCATAATAAGAGGTTACGGAAAACCCGGTTTAACAAGACCTCATTTAAATATTAGTATATTCGGCAATGAAATTTCCACCGGCTACGATGTTCAAAAAGGTGCTACTGGTACGATCGTGACTGGAAGCGGCGTACAAGGAAGTATTCATACCGATGATTCTATTTCGGGGACTGTCTTCACTCATGGAAACGTTCCTGGTGCGATATCGTCTCCTGCCATTAATCAAGGCGCTGTTTTAACAGGAGGAGTACAACCTGGATATATCGCTTCCGAAAAAGCAGAACCGGGATACGTGATTAGAGATGGGTTGAAAACTGTAGACGTCGGATCAGCTAGTCCAGGAACTTTAATATACGGCTCGCAAACTCCTGCAATTTCCGGTCCTTCGACGTCCAGCGTTATTTTGAAAAGTGACATTATCCCGGGTATTGTTATTTCTGGACATACCGCTCCTGGAGTATCTATAGGAAGTTCCGTTCAATCAGGAAGCATCGACAGTTCAACCGGTAAATCGTACGTGTCGCAAGCAGGAACAACTTATCATGGTGTCAGCGGTGCCGCAACAAGAGGATGTTTGAGCAGCTCTTCGACGGTTCTTGGACGGCCAACGCATCCTCAGGACTACCAAACTGATGTCGGATGCGGCATCGGTGCGATCAACACCGCTTACGATACCGGCAAATACTCGGAAAGCGACGTGCCGGATTATAGACCGACCAGCGCCACTCTTCCCGACTCTATTGTATCTGGAGGTAGAATAGAAGGTACCGGCGGTGTTATTTTTGGTTCTACTTTACAAGGTTCGACTACAGCCGCGCCAGGATATTCATTGCCTACAGCGGCCGTCTTCACACCGAGTGGATTCACGAAAACTGGCTTAACCAGAACAGGTATAACCACCGCCGTTCTCGGAGGTGGTGGTAGCTACTCAGTAAGCACAAGCGAACGCCGGCCTGCCTGGAATCCAGAAAATATCAGTGAGAAAGCATTCGAGGGGAACGTGGCCGGATATACGAAGACATCGTCTAGTAGCAACGCCGCTGACTTGTCTGTTACCTTGACTCCACCTGGCTATTCTTCGACAACTCCGCCAAGTCGTGTCATTGTACAGTCGACTCCTTCCAGCTACTCGTATCCTAAGCCAAGCATTCAGCTCGGAACAAACGGCGTAACGTTCGTCTCATCGACAATTTCACCGATTGAGAATAATTTACCAATTACGTCGTCCAAGCCGTTCTCGATTAATGTATATGACGGATCGTTGGGCAGCACTGGTGTAGCGTTCGGATCTAAGATACCAACCGCGCCCGATCGTCGCTTATCAACACCGACGATCTCGTCTGTAGTTTACACTACCGAACGTCCAGAAATTTATAAAACGACTTTCTTTGAAGCGGCTAAGATTCCAGTAGCTGTGTCAACTGTCAGACCTGTTACCGGTTACAAGACGGTAACTGTCCCTCCAAATATCCCTGTCTTAACCGATGACAGGTTAATCCAACAGACCGGTAATTCGCAGACTGCATCAGTATCAACATCTGGCATCGGTTTAGGAGCATCTTTCCAACAGACTGATTTCAGCGGCAAGAAGGATCATGATTCTTCTTTAATTTCCGTATATCTTCCAGCAAAGTCGACTAAGCCCGGTGTAATCACGTCTACTACAAGATACGATATACCTGCGGTAACTGTGCGTCCAGATCTCGTCGGGGTAACGTACAAAAAACCTTCATCGTTTACGTATGAAGGTCCTTCTTCGATCACGTCGCCTACTACCTTCAGACCTTCCAACATATATTACAACGGTCAAGGATTTTCGACGGCATCTTCCGCAGGAACAACTTCTAGCAACGGCTCTCCGACAAATCTAGGTATTTCGAGAGAAAAGATCGACAAATTAATTACAAACTACGATAGAGGCAGCGTGAGGTATATGCCAAACGTATACGATACCACCGCGAGCTTAGGATTCGGTTCGACCATCAGTAAACTCTCCTCCGAAAAGTCAAGATTCTCCGTGACCGGCAGTACCGTCGCCATCACGACGCCGTCCGGTTCGACGACATCCTCGTACGAAGTTACCACGAAGTCCCCCGAAGACAAGGGCAAGGTCATCGTGAAGTGGAGCGATCTACATCCGCTTCTTCTAGGCAAGCTCGGAGCGGAGTGTACATGCAAATCCGATCCCTTCGCCACTCTTCGCGGCCCGGTGAGGAAACTGATCGCCTCTTCCAAGGGCAAGGTGGATCTCGGCAACTACGACGAATCCGAGATCTACGTCGATCTCGAGAACAACGGTTCCTCCGAAGAAGACAGCACCGATTACGGCGATTATCCGGCGCAACCCTATAAAATTAGCCCGCACGAAACGACGAGGGACCACCCGCCGTCGTCCTCTTACTTACCCGTGCCTTCGACGACGGTCAGGACGAGCAATTTCGGTCCGGCGGTAGGTTTTCATACAGAATCATCCGCAGGTGATGCACCTTTCGGGGTCCACCTTTTAGGTTTTCGAACCGGCAGGAAATTGAAGGATGATGTCGGTCCATCGCCGAACTCGATCGCTCGCGATGTAGAGGAAGATCCTGATCAAATAATCGACGGCGCCACCGATTGCGCCAGGCCGGGTCTCTTCAGACATCCTAGTCTTTGCAATAAATTCTACGCCTGCCATTGGGATCAGTGGAAGAAGAAATTCACGCTTCACATCTTCAATTGTCCGATCCACTTGACGTTCGATTCGAGAGCGAGCGCGTGCAATTGGCCGAGTAAGGGTCCAGCTTGCCAAGCCGACAATCTATTAGTATAAATTCGTCATTAGGCGTTTATATCTTGTCGTCTTCTTTATGTCTTCACGGTATCTTTCTCTTTTGTACATATAACAAATAGAGGCGAAAGTTTAATTGTGTAAAAACGTTAAAATCATTTCTCAAATCGTTCGTGTTAATCCAATTTGAAAGATTGATTCGACCATTACACAAACAATAAGATATTGCGAGTGCAGAGATATATTATTAAATATAAAACGACTTACTTTCACGCACGAATCGATCTCTCGGTTCTTGGATCGATTGATAGCGCCGTTGACTGAATCCATCTTGACACCTAGATTTCCCCTAAACGTTTGCATTGAATAGCACCGATGGTATATCTCGTTGAAATGAAACTCGTAGCATCTTAGAGAATGGGCTCATGAAAAGGTTGAAACGTAAGGGAAGGGCTAAATCCAAGGCGATCGAGATGCAGGCTGCGGGAAAGCGTTGTCAAAGTGAAAGTAGTCCGTGCCCCGTCGATCTAATTGTAAATCGCGAAAAACCGTCGAGTAGTGTACGTATTATTTATATTTCTATATTCCAAATTTACATGTAAATATTGACTAAATCGTTTAAAATACTCGTTAATACAATAATAATGAAAAAATAATAGCGTTATCAGTGTACAAAATTATCAAGGCGCTAGAAATATAAAATCTTTTGAAAACGCAAATAAAATTTACTCTTTAATTAATCTAAAAAAGTAGCGCTTTTTATAAAATTTTTATTATGTATAGCAAGCGTCTCTTACCATAGGTAATCTCTTCATGTCGTTTTTCATTTGACGTAATGATATCGCATAATTAATATACTTTCCGATCAATTTTATGCTTTCTTTTTCGGTGTTCACAATGCTTCATAATATTCCTGAAAAATAATAAACTTTAAACGTGACTCTTATATGCTACGCATTTACGGTAATTTTCCGTTTCTATCGCTATATTGTTGCAAAAATATTATTTATTTGTCGCTAATCAAAGAAGCTTAGCGATAACATCGCTGTATATTCTTTCTTGCAATTCTGACAGCGCTTCGATTACTGTGTCATCAAATACTGTTACGATTTTAATAAACAATAATTTGCATGACACCAAAATGCACGACTGTATTTATTAACTGATCCTCATTTTTTGTCAACATATTATAAAACTTTAGCGAAAGTTTATCAGACACAAAAATCGTGAAAAGAAAATAGATAATTATTTTAAATATGTATTATATTATTTCTTTAAAAAATGATATGTTTGCGCATCTTTGTTTCTAGACTTTCAACTTGATAATTAAAGGCTATTTTCTTAAATGAAAAGATCAATTAGCAAAGATCAATTATATTCGCGTTTGCTTTTTTTATTTTTAGATTTGTATTTTTTTTTTGCATTTGGACTGTTTGTATCAAAAGAATCGTATGCACGACTGTATTTATTAACTGATCCTCATTTTTTGTCAACATATTATAAAACTTTAGCGAAAGTTTATCAGACACAAAAATCGTGAAAAGAAAATAGATAATTATTTTAAATATGTATTATATTATTTCTTTAAAAAATGATATGTTTGCGCATCTTTGTTTCTAGACTTTCAACTTGATAATTAAAGGCTATTTTCTTAAATGAAAAGATCAATTAGCAAAGATCAATTATATTCGCGTTTGCTTTTTTTATTTTTAGATTTGTATTTTTTTTTTGCATTTGGACTGTTTGTATCAAAAGAATCGTATAATAATTCTTTATTTCCAAAGTTCACTTTCCTTTCTCGCTGATAGAGATGGGAAGTTGTCACTTTTGTCACTACTTGACCAGTCGACTTGCCAATCGACGATTGGAGAGGGGTCACGATTACCAATCAGCAAGAAAGAGAACACTCACCGCGAGTAGAACGGGACGCAAAACGAAAGAAAAGGCTAGCATTGACGTGCGACTCGTTAGTTCAGGCTAGGAGGTGATATAAAGGCGTACCGGGATCCGTCTTGATCCAATTTGTTGCCTGTAACACAAAAGGATCAGTTTAATTCAGCGGGAAGTCCGTCGCTGCCACACCACATTTTACCATCATGTAAGTTTCTTACTTGTGTTATCTTATCATCACAAATAATTAACACTTGATTATGTCGATTTTATCGGGCATTAATTACAATTTGTAAAATTTTTCAAAAACTTCTGCTACAACCATATACAGATAATTTCCAAAAAAATTGATTAAACTCTTTTCTTTTAATAAATAGAAATTAGATTTCAAAAGAATTAAATTCAATCTCTTTCTTACATCTGACGCGGATTGTTTTACATCGCATGGTAAATATAAATAGTCTGTAATTATAAATATACAAGAAATTAAGGCTCCGTTAGTTAAAAACAAAAAAAAAATAAGGAAAAAAACGGCATAAAGAGCCAAGTAATTAGGGCGCAAAAACAATATTATTTATTGATTAAAATAATAATTATAAGAACTATAAATGACGTTCTTTTATTATAAATATAGTCAGATAATGTTGGTAGTGTTTATTGTAATAACGAAGATAAATAGATTCATATTTTGTAAACGGCGTAGATCTGATTTGCATGAGAATGCCTCCGAGAGGAGGGGTTTACAATAACAGCGTATAAATGCTAATCGATCTCTCTTTGTCATATTACGTAAATGCAATAATAAAAACGCGATAATCGTTGACCTTGCGATCGTCTTTGCTGCAGTTCCGGCTATCAATCCGTCAATGCAAATAACCCGCTTATTAGAATTCTAAATATTTTTCCGATATATTATAAACACTTACGCGAGTTCAAAATAGCAGCATTAAAGTTTTCAAACTTCAATACCATTCAATTGCAATTACAAAATTTGCATATTTAATTGTTGTAAATATAAATAATGCAATAAGAAGATTGTTTAAAAACCTGTACGATGATCTTACGAAGCAAGAAACGAGAGAGTGGAATAAAAGGCAGAGAAGACGAAGCTGGATACTTGGTTGAGAAGTAGCCGCAAGCAGTGAAAGTAGCTCGAACCGACTGAACTTTATCGGTCACATTGGCGATTAAACGTCAGTCGAGTAAAAAGAGGCGACATGAGCATAAAAATTTTCTTCACGCCATATGACGTTACGCAACCACGTGTTATCGCCTCTCGGCCGCGCATAGGCGCCTCGTATTGTTTATCCCAGCTTACTTTCGCATAATTTCGAAACGCATCGCTCGATTTTTCTCACCTTGAAATCGATATTCTCTCATGAATCAGAATTCCGCGTACAAAAATAAATTAGTTGTCGCATTTTTCAGACGAACATTAAATGATATTTTTTTTTTAGCACGTTATAAGATTCGATAAAGTCGAAAGCTTTATGTTTAATTTAATTTAATTTAAATTTAATTATCAAGGAATTTGCCGTTGAAACTTAGCAAAGTGTCAGGCAAAAGATCAAAACATTTTTATATAATAAAGAATACTAGATAATAAAAAAAATCAACGGCAGCCTTTTTTTTAAAAAAATCTCTGAGAATATATTTTCCATTATATTCAAGATAATACGCGAGAAAATATATATTTACTGATTTGCATTTGAATAGGGTGGTGTGGGCGGTGCTGATATTGGCAGTGGTCGCGTTGACCGATGCAGCGGTACCAGATCCACCGGAAAATTCTGGTATCACTACGATCGGCTCCAAGAAATTGGCGACTGCCGCCGACTGCGCCGGGGTCGTCGCCTTCTCTGCCATTCAAGGCTCGGTGAATGTAAGTCAGCATCGTAATAACTTAAACAAGCTGAGATATAAATAGCTATAACGCGAGAAAATAAGTATATCTTTACAAGTTAGTAGACTACTTTATTTAGAGTTTCAAAAAAAAATAAATATTAATCGTTGCGATAAATGTAATCTGAAATTTTATCATTATCGTATGCATTTATACAGAAAGTGATACGTGTAAATGTAACAGGAAGCTAAACTCGTTCTCGCCGAGACTCTGGTGGACAAAGGAGTCGGCTACGCGGCGGAGACAGGCATCTTCACCACGCATTGTCCAGGCCTCTACCAATTCAGCTTCGCCGGGTACGGTAGCACGGACCTGCGGTTGACATTGAAACGCAAATTGAACAAGTCCGACAGCTGGAGAACAATTGTCAGCGCCGGTCCGGGTGGAGGAAGCAATCTCGTCCTGTTGAACGTTGAAGCCGGTGATCAACTGGCCGTCTTCGTTGAATCCGGAAAGATCGTCGACGGGGCTACTTTTACGGGTCATCGCGTTTACAAAAGATAAACTGGACCGTTAAAATCTTTAATGACATCAGGTTGGTCATTATTTTATAGAAAAACTAAATTAAAATTAACGAAAGTGATCCTAAAAGAAAATCCGTGATATATCAATGTAAAAATTTGACTAAATCTTAGAATTTTATTTTCAATTTAAACACTGAATACATTATATACGTAACCAATCTAGTAAAGAACACCGAATTTTATCAGTAGATCATCTTCCATCTACGAGTCAGTAATTTTTTAAATAAATCAATCTTTTAAAATAATATAAAAAAAATCAAGTTTTAATGAAATATTAAAGATTGAAAAATTAAGATATACACGCGATAAACAAAATTAGCGATAATATCATACTCTTTTTGATCAATTCTAAAATTTTCATCAATAAACATATTATAAAAGCATCCGAAAAGAAAAAAAATTAAGACGCTTTAGCAAAATCCAAGTTATGAATATCAACGTTATTTCATTTAAGGTCTTTCTTGTGTGTCAAAATAGAGTTTATAGTTCTAAAACTTGTCGATAAATTTAATATTTTAGGATAATTGTTTCTCTCCGCTCTCGATCATTCGGCTAAAATTTCATTGATCTAATAATTTTTAACTAAAAAGTAAAAACAAATTTCTAACTATTTTGTAAATCAACATAGACTTTTTCAGTTCTTTCGTCTTTCACTTCTTTCGTTTTGCTTTCTAGCGTTTTCTTCTTCATATTAACTTTCCCCTCGTCAATTCGTTTTTCTCGACTTATTTTTCTCGCTATAGATTAACGTGATATTAAATCAACTTTCTCCGTTCAACTTACGTGCGTTCATCTTTCTATATTTTCTTTGATTATATCTCTAATACTTCCTCTAGTCTTTATTGTTCTCGACTGTTTCTACCGCTGTCCTCTTTTGAAATTGTTTTTCTTCTCAGTTCTTATCTCTGCTGTCCGTTACAAATTTTATCTCTCTTTGTTTCATATTTTCTTTTTCATCTATCTCTCTTTCGTGCTTTCTTTTAGAATACTCGTCTTTAAAAATATTCTATCATTGAAATTATCGTATTTTTACTTTTTTGTTTCTATAATTATTCTGCCTTTTAAACTCATTGTTATTATTTCTCTATCTTCTTCTAGTCTATATTTTCTACAGATCTTACAAGGTTTGGCTTTCTGCCAAACCTTTTTCACTTTTTTTCTTTTCAATATCGTTTTCTATTTCCGATTTAATTTTTACATGACTGTCTATCTCTTTTTTCATTTTTGTCTATCTATCTATCCATCTATTTATCTACCTGTCTATCGATCTTTTTTCTATCTCTCTCTCTCTCTCTATCTTTTTCACTCTGTTTTGTAATAAATGTCGCAAGCTTTTGCTATTACAATAGTTACGTCGGAGAGAAAAATTGTAAAATTGACAGAAAATAAAAAAAGAAAAAAAGAGAGATTTTATAGTAACAAAAGAGAAAAGATTATAGACGACAATAGAGAACGTGTGCGCGCATCTATGGTGAACAGTGCGATTTATTTTTGTACGAATTATTTTATCAATGTAAGAAAAATGTTAACAATGAATAAAATTATGTGTATGCACATAATTTCATATCCCCCCCCCCCAAAAAAAAAAATCCAGTCGCACACTCTCTTCACTTTAAATGATAATTTGATATTATACATAGATTTCTTTGGAAGACAAAATATTTTTACAAAACTAATCCCTTTCTCGAGGATCAAATATCGAGTTCGACAGTCTCACTTTCTAGTCCCTTGTAATCTTCGAGCATAGGATACACCTCTTCTTCGAGGAACTCGACGACTTGCTCGGGCGCCCTACCGACGAAAGTCGCTGGATCCAGCAAAGCGTCCAGTTGAGGTAAGATCGGCGCAAAGTATGGATCTTTTTTGATCCTATCAACCAGATCGTTATCCAAACCGTGTTGCTTCACTTGCGCTCCGGCTTCGTGTGATAACACGCGAATCTTTTCATGGCAAACCTACGTCAAAAATATATAAAAGGATTTGGATTATTAATATAAAAAATATTATTATTATAAATATATTATTTCAATTATTATTAAAAAATAGAATTATAAAGAAATTTGCGTCAAATAAAATTTGATCAAAAACTAATATCAAAGTTAATCAAAAATTGAGAGTTCGCATTCAAAAGCTTAATTAACAAATATTCATTAATATTTTAATATCCTCTTAAAAAAAAAAACGTGATTGCGCAAATTGTTCCAAAATTTTTATGAAAGAGAGAGAGAGAGAGAGAGTCATACCTGTCTGTCGCCGCCGGTCTTTACCATAGCCATTATCACATTCTCCGTGGACATGAAGGGCAATTCTTGCGCCACGTGCCTGGCGATGACTTTGGGGTAAACGACCAATCCCTCCGTGATGTTCTGGAGAGTCATCAGGATCGTGTCGGCCGACAGGAAGGCCTCTGGCAAGGTGAGCCGACGATTCGCCGAGTCGTCCAACGTTCGTTCCATCCACTGGGTCGCCGCTGTGTGAAGGACGTTGTTCACCAGCGTCATCAGGTGACGTGCCACGCTGCAGCATCTCTCGGAGCGCATCGGGTTGCGTTTATACGGCATCGCGCTCGAACCAATCTGCGTACTCTCGAAGGGCTCCTCGATTTCTTTCATGTTGGCGAGGAGACGAATGTCCGTGCAAATCTAAAAAGAAAATTAGTTCGAGATAAAACAGAATAATTTTTCACGACAAAAGAAAGAAATAAATATTCCATTCTCCGACAGTTATATTTTAACAGCTGTTGTGCAGAGTATTAATTTTGCTCACCTTGTGAACGGTCGCACCGAGTGAACTCAAGACGTTCAGGCATTCTATATCGACTTTTCTACTGTACGTCTGTCCGGTAACGGCGTAATGCTTTTCGAAACCAGCCATCTTAGTGACAAGATCATCTAATCGCTTCACCTTTTCCGCATCGCCTGTTAACATTAATTTTTTAGCGGTTAATTTCCAAAATTTGAAAATTATGAGCAATCTTTCAAATCTATCATGCTTAGTTTTCGTAATTATAATTTCTCTTGAAAAATCCGAGTAATAAAAATTCTATTATCATTAATAGAAAAATTAGATTCATATTTAGATAATATTTTTTACTTGAGATCATCTAAAAAAAATAGATTCCGAGTGCGTGTGTGCCCTTATGATTATGTGTTCTCATGATCCATTTTTTTCTTGATAAAATAAAATAGACTAACCGTTGAATAGCTGAAGGAAAGACGCTTGGGTGCCAGTAGTGCCCTTGACTCCGCGGAATCTGAGATCGTTTCTGGCGCGACGAATGGCCCTTTCGTCCATCACCAAGTCCTGCAGCCATAGCGTCGCCCTTTTGCCGACCGTCGTCAGCTGCGCGGGTTGAAGATGAGTGAAGCCCAAGGTGGGCAAGCTGCGATGCTCGAGGGCGAATTTCGCGAGACGCCGAATTACGCTGGCCAATTTCGGCAGTAGTATGTCGAAGCCTTGACGCAGGATCAGGAGGTCCTTTGCAAGAAAATAATATTAATAAATCAGTTGATTCCGTTACTGTCAAAATAAAAATTTTAAAAAATATATATATAATATGTTAAATTAAAATATAAAAATACGCTTAATTTGATAACGTTTTTGACATTTTTTATAGACATGACATATCTCTCCATGTTGGTATTTGCAGTTAATATCCTTCGAAGGAATAAGATTAACAAAAACATACCGTATTATCGCCCACGTAGCAGCTGGTCGCGCCGAGGTGGATGATGGGTGCAGCCAGTGGACACTGTTCACCGAAAACATGAACATGAGCCATCACGTCGTGTCTCGTCGCCTTTTCCTCTTTGGCGACAGCTTCAAAATCAATGTCGTCCACGTGTGCCTCCATCTCGGCGATCTGCTGCGGCTTGATGGCCAGGCCGAGCTCCTGAAAAGTCGTCGTTGTTGATAAATATTTTTGAATAGTACCATGTCTATGGGGATCTCGCACCGCTCTGTTTTAGTTGTAAAAATGAAGAAGAAGCTCGATGTAGTCGGTTTAAAATTATCACTCGATAAGAGATCGCGCATGTGCGTCGATCCTCTACGATTCTTATCCTCGTTACAACGTATACTCCCTGTATCATCTGATTAGATAAAGAGGGCTTGGTTCTCCGCTTCGGGAAGCGCCCGAAAGCACGACGCGGATTTCATTTTGTTTCGTTCGTTTTCACGGTGAGAGGTGCCGAGGAGTCCGCAAACATGGTCTCCCTACAGACTATCGCGAGTATAGTGATCAAAGTGTTAAAGTTGGTGAGAAGATAGTATTTTTGGCTTTCATATCGCGTAATCGTCGTGAAAAGTGTATACCTGTGGAGAGAGTTTCACAGAGTGTCTGAAAACTATGATATTTTCTTTGATCAATTCGGAGTAAAAAGTCCAGAAATTTTCTCAGCAAGAACATCCACTTTTTATTTTATTTTGATTGACTATTATTTTATTAGAACTTTAACTTAGTTACAAAAATGTATTTAATATTAAATGTTAAAAAATTACAAAGAAAGACATTAGCAATTAAATCTTTCGGAAAAGAAAAAAGTCGACTCCAAATTGATCGATCAATTCTCTCTCTCTCGGTAAACTTCTTTTAGGAAATATAATTGTACAGTTAAATTATATAAATAAAATGTATATCAAAGAATGGTTATTTTAATGATGTAACGAAACTACGATGCAAAAAACTTTGTTTCTTACTTAATGTGACTCATGTCGTCGGGTATTGCAATTAGCAAGTTGTTCAATGAACGCGAGTTTGCGGTCAATGATTTCAATCGTGAAGAATCGTAAAAAGGCGTGAGCTGGAAAGTCATCATAAATACAGTCATTCAAGGGAGATTCTTGCAAGATGTATATGATTCATTTCGACTGCCCTTATCGGCTTGCGATAACGCACGTTGTTTAGTAAGCGATACGCTACGCTGCCGTCGCTTTTAATGCATGAAACTATGGAGTGCTCCAGAAAACCTCTATAATAATAATAAGACTCATATTTCGTTTTTTTACGATCAACAAAATTTCAAATTTTCGAAATTAATTATTTTTCGGAACATAGTAAAAAACTTTTATTAACATAAATTTAATTTAAAATTAAAAACTCAGAATAATCTCTTATATTATTTATTTATATTTTCCCAGATTTATTTTATTAACCTTATTCGATATTTAAAAACTTATTCTAAGTTTTGATAAAGCTTTGATAAGCTTTGATATTGCATAAGTTTTTAGTGGCACTTTGCATACAAATATATTCTCGTGATTTATCAATTTGCAGGTTCTCAACCTCATCATTCTAATCCTATATCGCACAGGATATGGCGGCGAATTTTTAGGTGTAGGTGGAACTTGGAACTTGAATGAGGACAAGAACCCCGATGCCGAGATCGTCGCTTCCGGTGTCTTCGTCGGCTTCTTCATCTATACGAGTGTCGTGCTCATCAGCTACTGTTTCGGGAATACCGATCACAAGAAAACTCTTGTTGTAAGTATTTGTATGCTGACATATAAATTTCAATTAAAAATTATATTAAATTACAGGAAAAACTATAGTATCTCTCTCTCGTATCACATTTTTCACAAAAGAATTATATTTCGAGAATTGAAATATATCGATGGAATTTTCGATACATAAAATGTATCAAAAGTGACGATTTTTCTCTTCATTTTTTTGATAAATATAAAACACATATTTTTCTTTCATCTGTTGAAAGAGATAAGCAATTAGATCACCAAGCTATGTACACTAATATAAAAGTTCAATAATCTGACAATCTTGAAATAATTTGATCGATCTTTTCTACAGGAAATCATCATGAATTTCGTCGGAACCTTCATGTTTATAGCTGTAGGTGGAACAGCTCTGCATTATTGGCACGGTTATCAGCCTGAACAAAAATTCATATACGATGCGCCAGAGAGGCAGGTAAGTCGAATATATCCAACACATAAAGTAAAATCATAAAAAAAGCCATCGAAAAATACAGGTATAAGTTTCAATTTCCAACTACGATAAGAGAATTATTTTTTAATACACAATAAAAATAATATAATTTTACGAAAATTGTTTCTCGAAAAAAAAATATATGTATGTATTTTAATTTTAATTATCTTTAAAAATGATCTTCCGAAATATTAAACCGAATTAAAATTAAAATTCAATGATTTCAGATCGGTCTGGCCGTGGGCTCGTTATGTGTTTTAGAAGGTGCGACGTATCTAGTGGATCTCATATTGAGCTTTCTTCATTACGCTAAAGATGAATTCAATTAGCATAAGAGAAAAAGTATTACAAGACAACGTCGTTGACACATCGACGATATTTAATATCATTTCTTTCCGTTTCATTCCATCAAAACCAACTCACGTTAAAATTAAAGATATACTAATGAGTATGGCAAAAGCTTACAGTATTAAATTATCGCCATTAATTAACTGTATATTTCCGAGTATATCTTTTTTTGAGACATATTTTAGTATGGAGAGTTTCTTTTTGTGAAAAATACGAATAATCTTATCCTTCTTTAAAAATTGAGAAAAGGGAGAGTCTCTCCTCATTACACATTTTTATATATATTTTTATTTGTATCGATATCTCTCCGTTAGAAACATATGTAACGCGCCTAATAAAATTTTACACGCGAAAAGTTTATATATATAACAAACTGATTTATAAAATATATTTCTTATATACGTAAGAGGATCAATACTTTCAATCTATTTTTATTATTCACGTCTTATGTGTCGTTCCACTAGTTTTAAAGCAAATCAAAGTTAAATTTAAAAAATAATTAAAAAAGGAAATTTAAAAATACTGGTTTTAAAGCAAATCACAGTTAAACTAAAAATTAAATTTAAGTTTCAAATTCGCATTCGCGACGCCGCTGTGAAAATTTGTTTCTTCAAGTCTAACACGTTCTTGCCGCGCACCAAACGACCGATAATACGTATCGGGCGATAATTATGCGTGTGACCTCTTTGTTTAACCGACACTCGGTCCGCGAAGGAGAAAATGTAGAAAGCGCAGTCGAGAAATATGTGACCGGCGCCCTTCTCGAAATAATCGTCGATTACTCTACGACGTTCCACCGGATGATTTCATCATATAAGCCCTACCAAGATCCCGTCCTACCGCATCAATTAATTTATTTGACCCGACGATCGTCGTGGATGACCGACACGATTGTACACCCACCCACGAGCCGGGTACATAATCACGTTAATCGCGAGGATCACGCCTAATTTCGCTAACAATAAATTATTAAGCTGGAACATAACAGGACCAAGTATATTATTTACGCTTTAATATAAGTACTTATATAAGGGGAGGAGAAACTCGGTTTGAAATCATTTGTGGCTCTAGACACGAGCTTCTTTTCCTTCTCTCGCACTTTATTTTCCGAAAAATCGTGTTTGAGAAAAGAAAAGAAAATATCGATTACTAGAGAAATAATCAGAGCCCGAGATGTCGAAGAAATAAAGAAGTCAACGCAATAAAAATATAACATTCTACTTATTGTCGGCGGAGAAATTACTACATAAGCGTTTGTATAGCCGAGACGAAAAATAATTCTTGTGTAAGCTACGTAAATGTTTCATCGAGGACGAGAATTGACATAGATACTCAGTAATCGCGATATGAAAAGTGAAAGATTGCAGCGAACTCGTCGTCGTACAACGTACGGATCGATATGGCGATTCGTTTCCGACAATGTTGGTTAAAGTACAAGTATAGCCTATATAGAAACTGCGCAGCTGATGTATAGTTGCGTGCTTTCTGTGTAATAATATTTTTTGCGCAGCAGGCGAGATACTAAATTCATAAAGAATCCAACTTGCAAACGCGTACATAATCTAATTTAATTTCATATTAATTACTTTAATGTTACATCTTCGATGATAATATCTCCGATACATAAGTACGATCCTCTAAATAAATTAATTGTATTAATACAAGATGTGTTATAGTGTTAATAAAATACAGTTAAAATCTTGTCTATATTTTTGGATGATTAAAAATCAATTCTTATAATGAGAAATATATATAATATTATTTAATATTATATTATATTATATAATTATATTATATAATTATATTATATAATTATATTATATAATTATATTATATAATTATATTATATAATTATATTATATAATTATATTATATAATTATATTATATAATTATATTATATAATTATATTATATAATTATATTATATAATTATATTATATAATTATATTATATAATTATATTATATAATTATATTATATAATTATATTATATAATTATATTATATAATTATATTATATAATTATATTATATAATTATATTATATAATTATATTATATAATTATATTATATAATTTTAATATTATATTATATTTTTAACATTAAAATAATTATTGAATATTATTATTAATATTATAAATATAATATTAAATAATTAAAATAATATTAAATGACGTTTCCTCTTTTCTCTTGTGACAAATAAATTAAGACACAGTGGTAACTGCCAATCGCGTCTTACAATCAGGAGGTTTCACTAATCGTATTCCGAGCTTAAAAGTCCACCAATTAGAATGCAGCATATCGTGTGTTTTACTAGTTGCGAGTTAAAAATAATCGCGTTGCCATAATTATGTAAAACGTAATAGGCGCGCGCGCGCGCGCGCGTATTTGCATGTAATATGATAGCGAGCCTTTTCAATGCACATAGCAGGCAATCCGCGGAATGACGACGTGTCCTTGCACCATACCGCGACGTCAAAATAGCGTCGTGAAATAGGATCGAGCGTGTCGTTTCGAGCGGAGGAAGTCGCACCCGCGAAAATTTTCATTACGAAGTTTTCATTCTCTTCGTATTATTAAAATTAAATAATTTTTTAAAAATAACGTAAGTATAATTAATTAGGCGATAAATAAAATGTCTTGTAAAGCTAAATTATTTAGCTGAATTATTGAAACGCGGAAAGTGCAAATGTATGACTCTGGATTAAAGAGGAAGAGATTTCGAAGAGAGATATTATTATACATCACACATTTTTCTTCATGTTTTTTTTTTTCTATAAATTGGATAATATACATCGATTAAGTCAACCTGTTGCAGGAAGAGCTGCAAGAGTCCTTGGATGACTGTCTCGTAACGCACCATTATTACGTGTCATTTAATCGATGACGCAATAGGGCGTGCACGCAATATAACGACACTTCGCGCGTCCGTGACATGTTGGCGATACAAAACAAGCAAAAATGCGACCGGAAATCTGGCGATGTCAAACGCTATCGTGCGTGAAAGAGACCGACCTCGATACGTTTCTCGTCAGGCAACACTTATCGGAGGTGTCGCGACTTCGTTTAATCTTTTCTTTATCCAGTTTATGTGAGCTCGATATCTAGCGAATGAAAAAAGAAGAGACACCTTTAATGCCCTCCCGTAATCATCGACATCATTAACGATATTTTCGGTGAAAGTTCCATAGTCACTAAATGAGTGAAAGCCCCTTAGGATTACGAAACCTGAGGCATCTCGCGCGCTGGCGGTGCTTAGATATCGAAGCATCGATTCCCCTTGTCTTCGATACCTAAGTAGACTTCTGGTCGCGCGCGAGAGACCTCCAAGCCCCGTACTTCGCTTGCGCGAGAATCGTAAAGCTCGTAAATGTCGCATATACCGTACGTTCTGCGTTTCAGTTCGAGCTGCGCCGCTGCATCGTGCGGCACGGTTTTCCCTTGATACGAGGGACTCGTTAACGTTAACGTCGCGTCGCGTGAATAAGGGAGGGAACAAGCGGAGGGAAAGTGTATCGCGGAACACCCTGTTCTACTTTCTCAAAAGTGAAGATAAAATAGGCAGAATATTTTATAATATACGAGACATTTATTCTTCGGAGCGTTGTGTCGAAGTGAGTACTCCGTTATTCGCTCGCGACGCGTGTGTACACACGTGGACGCGTGTCAGGTGACTCAATGGACGGAGTAGTTGTTAGTCGGCGTATTACTTGAGGCCTATTTAAGGTATAACGAGTTTCAGTCGTAGCAACTCACGTGTACGCAACTCGTGACATAACCGCGTACATTCATTCTTGAAAAAAAAAATTACGTCTTAAAAGACAGAGCGTGAATTTATTCTGTGAATGCATACTTCATGTTTTGAATTTATATCTCACTTGGAAAGAAAAATGTATGACGTTCTTGTGTAATAAATTTTACTGATGAACAATCGCAATACTTGTGAATAGGAAGAGTCAAATAAAAAAAAAATTGAAGAAAAAAATATATTTCACCAGTGAAATAATTTCGTTTTACAGTCTTGTGTTCGCACCACGTGAGTCAACCTTTTTGAGTTCAACCCTCCGATTTACATGCGTCTCCCCTATGCGCGATGTCTATCGCGTTTCTTGTTTTAGGGTCGCCAAGACTGCAGAGAGGGTTGTGCGCGCGATAAAGAAAGAATCGATCGCCATTGAATCCCATTGAAAATCTTTCAAACTGGGCGACAGAAAGGGAAAGCATCGAAGAGTGAGAATGGCGGACGAAGATCAGCAAAGTCAACGGCCGGCCCCCAGAAACAAAATCCTGAGTCACCTGCCGACCGCCATCAAAATAATTGAACTGGCGAGTATCATATTAATTAATTGAATAAATAAAAAAAAAAAATTGTGAAATTTTGCATCTCACGTTTTTGTTATCGAGATCCCGTAACTCTATTTTCGCGATTTAACATCTCTATTCGCATAACACTCGATGATGCATCTCATCTTCTCGAGGTTGCAATGCAAACCTCGTCTCGCGACAATACAATAGCGCGGATTGCAAGTAAACATTTTACGTAACGCTCTTAACACAATGCAGATACTGGCCATTTTTGCGATCGGTCTGGCGGTCGATCCGATGAACTCGTTCCAGCAAATGTTCAACAGGCCGCGATTCAAGCTCGACGATGCCGCCACTATTTACGTTACAGTCGCCGGCTATATCCTCATCAATGGGCTCTTCGTCATCAGCCACATGCTAGGCGATCGCGTGCCAAAAAGAACGGTAATGTCTCAGCGATATATCGCAAATCACGCTAATATTTAAATCAAAATTAGTTTAAAACTCTCTCTCTCTCTTTCTTTCTTTTTGCGACATATTTTCTGTCTTTAATTTCTTTGCAAAGAAGAGAAATATATGCGCTTGTATTTTATATACCCTTGTTCGTGCAGGGTATAAGACAAAAGATTATACGATGACTCCAAGGACATAAACTTTACAATTATGATGTTTCTAATATTTTAATAAGAAAAAAGATAAATTAATTCAAATTAATCATAGAATCTATAGATAAAATTGAAAGTTGAATATTTTTTCTTTTTTTAATAAAAAGATATTTTTACAGGAATAAATTTTGACAGGAAGAATAGTTTATTTCTATGAGTATCAAAGAAAAAAAATGATTTAGAAAATTATATATAAATATATAGTACGTAGATTGTTTTGCTACAAGTTACTTCGTCTTTTTTCTGTAAATATTCAACAGGGATTAATAGTCAATCTTTGTTATGCTAGTGCTCTCCTTGTTATGTTATCCTCATGATAAAGAACGACGCTGGTCGCAACTAGATACGCCTAGTTCATTTGTACAGCTGAGTCATTATGGACGCAGCGACGATGTATGTGTTAATTAGCGGACGCATCAAGGCCTCGTTACGCGAGGCTCGCTACATTTCTGATGTCGTCTTATACATAATAATCTTAGGAATGTCTCTCTCTCTCTCTCTCTCTCTCTCTCCGAATAAAAATCGCGCGGTGTTTATCGAGCATGTTCTAACTGTTGGATCGAATCAGTCGAGATATCAAAACCTGTGAAACATGCGAATAAAAACTTTTCAACTGTGCAAATTTCGCTATACCTTATTACGACGCATGATTGATGATACAATGCCAGGCAAGATCTTGACAAACAACCTTGAAATAATATATCTTGGCTGTGTAGTAATAAACGCGACGATAAATAATAATAAGTCACTTTTATTTTACACGCAATGTAGTTTGATCTCGAATTAATCCAATCGAGTCGCATTAATGTCAAATTTATCACACATATACATTAATTTGAAACTGAAAATAAAAAATATATTGATTCTTCCATCAACAAAATTATATAAATTTCTTAAATATTAACGATAAGAGTTATTAAAAAAGCTAGTCGTTATACGTGAAATAAATTGTGAAAAGCGTAATATATGATACATATGACACATCGCGTGTATTCATTCGTTATAGCCAGTAATTAAAAATTAAAAATAGACGACTGTTGCGTGATTCTCTTCACGCAACGAATCAAGAGCGAATTTAATCGATTATAATTAATTTATTGTTACAGCTGATAATATTCGCGTTCGTGGGCGCGATTATGCACCTGGTAGCCGGAAGCCTCATGGTCCACAATTGGCGTCATATGAACGGTTCTTCTCATCATTACGTGTACAACAACGAGATCTATGCTAGCAAGCAATACGTGGACATGCTTATATCCGCAGCCGTATTTACGTTCGTAAATGCGGTCGTATTTGTCGTTGAAATTATCGCCATAATAAAATGGTCATCGTGAATATCATGCGTAGAAGATCCGACAATCCAAAGGAGTTGAAGGACTCGCCAAAGTTACGAATAATTCGCTTCGAAGAAAGAAACAACAGATCTTAAATTTCCTTTTTTAAAGTTTATTATGATTAACTGCACCAGTTTTTCGAAATTTTGAGGAAGAAATGCTAAATCAATGTAATTTGAATATTGAGTAGGAAAAGTCCCTCAAAGAGATTTAATTAACAAATTCAAACCAAAAAAATATTGCGTATTATCACAATTTTAACGCATATTATCTGCTTCGAAGAAAAATGATAATTTTTTTTTTTTAATATTGACTTTGTAAATTGATCGACGAGCAAGATTGTATTTTAAAAATGTAATAATAGTATTATATATCGTCACCATAGTGTAGTATATAAGCAACATCGTGTATATCGTTATCGTTAGAAAAATTAGTAATAATATAATAGATTCGTAGAGATATAATTATGTAAGACAAGACTAAACGCGAAATAGCAACGACTGCGTGTAAAATCGCAATTCGAAAAAATTTATTACCATTCGAGCAAAGTATTTATTCGCGTGTGAATCCGTCCAGTAAGTTTTGTATTCAAAGAGCATTTATTTCTACAAATTATATATTTAATAAACAAATGTTAAAAAGCTTTTCTCTCTTGTAAGCAAAATAAAAAAGATATTTCTTCTCACCCATCTTATATTTTTCATTCTTTCTCATCTCTACTTATCTTCCTTAGATAAAATTCATAAATAAAAATTAAAAAAACAAATATACACGAAGTTGGTCATTCCGTGACATAACCATCTCGATCGTAGAAACAAAAATGTACGACATGTCTTCGTAACTGTCAAAAATTGTTTTAAATAAAGTTTCCTTTGCGTAGCGTTCGTTTCACGTTATATATTACGTTGATATCTGTAAAAGAATAATAATGGCAGAGAGCGAAGACAGAAAAAGCAGAATGGATAAGATAAAACCTTTTTTTCGGCTGCAGCACAAGACAAATAGATGTATATCGATTCTGATTAAGCCGCTGAGGATATTTCAATTCGTGCGTATATATCCTATTAGATTTTTGAATTACTGACATAAGAAAAAACACGTTGAAATTAAGATCGGTACGGATCGATTAATCTCGTCTCGCCCTCTAAAACCTTTCCCTCGATGACAGTTCGCGGTGTTACTACTCTTCGCATTCACGATCTATATAATCGCTATGGATCCTACGCCGATAAGCACTCTGGGCTGCATTCTCTTGATCGTCTTATCGGGTATCTACGTCTTCGTCTTGGCTGTCGAATTGATCAGCCACTTTGCCGGCAGCGCCTTGCACGTTATTCCGGTAATTTACATACCAAAGTGTTTAAAATTCTAGTTTTTTCTCAACTCTTTCGATGAAAATTAAAATCGTTTGGAAATTTAATTTAATTTTAATTTTAATTTAATTTAATTTTAATTTTAATTTTATTTATTTTTTCTTTATATAATTTATCTCTCTCGAGATGCCTGTCGGGAAAAGCCATCGAAAAACCATATCGACGAACTAGAAAAAATGAAAATAATTAATGTAATGTATATATTTCATATATATTTCCTCCATAAAAATTATTTACGCAGATGTGCTTGTTCTCCATAATCGGCCTCGCATTTTTCGCCACTGCCGGGATTTTATTAATTCTTTACAATTATATGGAACTCATGGTGCAAATGGCGACAATAATACTGTGTCTATTGGCAGCGCTATTTTTCTTGCTCGACATCACAATGGTATTCGCGTGAGTCTCGCGATTATCCCTTAATCCTTAAATCTTCGAGAGACGCGGAAGATTCCTTACGTTTTCTATACGCTTGTAGATTTTGGAAGAGAAAATGCTCCGTCTGTAAACGATGTTGCTATTACGAAGGAGCGGAATATTTGCTACGTAAAGACGAAGAACCGCTCCCACCCGATGCCAAGGTAAGTGCTCGCAGAAAAAATTCCTAAAATTCTATATTTAATCCACGATAGAGCATAAAAAAATTGATTTATTTCAATCTTGCGACGGTTTAAATTAATCAGCTATTTCGTGTCCTGATTAATGTTTCTTGAGCACAAACGTATAGATATTGAAGCACGACGTGACGACCAGTCTGAGCGACGTCAGGGTACCCGACGAATTAAAGACCGTCGCGAAGCCCGATCACTCTTACCGTAAAGTCGAATATGCTCGACGAAGAGAGTACGTCGATTCTCCTACCTGCGTCCCGTCATTATGCAATCTCAGTATCGCCCAAATCCAGACGGAACCGCGCGAAACATCCGTCGTGGAGATTCAAGTGAGCAAGATTCGCGATTCATTGATAAATATTTCATCCGTCCAAGTTTTTTACTTTACTTTATCCGAAAACAAATCTCCCTCTGAAAACTGACATTTTGATTGAAGGAGAAAAATCAAAGAACAATCAAATCGATATTTTTAATATTAATTAAATAATATTAA